TACCATTTCACGTTCAATTGACATAATATAATGATAAATGTTATTCCAGTTACAGCGATGACACCTATTTTTGGTCCACCTCGAGATAATATGTCGAACAACTCTCCATAAGAACTCGTTTGTCTATAGAACGGAAAGTCTTTGGAATTATTTGGCAAAAGAAGTGTTCTCAAGATCATAAAATCGCCATTTAAATCCATTTATTTGAACATGTAACTTTTACAGACACACTCAATATAAATAAAATCCTTAATATTTAACATGTATAAAATATATGGAACGCACAGGGCGAGCTGCTCAGTGCGAGCGAAAATTCGAATGTTTGGATTGCGCTATCATGAACTCTATAATTTGTCGTTAATTTGTTTGTGGAAAATTAAAGAAAAACCAAAAACCTCATTCTGACAATTCGATTTGTATTTATGTCGAGGGGAGTAGGGAAGGGTGAGGGTTAGGATGGGTTTTGTGGGATAAAAAGGGATCAACAGACTGAGATTGAGCACATCGATTATGCAGATAAAATCTAGGTGTATATCTGTTGGTCGATGCCAACAGGAGTGCGCTTACTATGCCCAGCTACGGGCAATATGTGTAGACACTCGGAGGTCGTACAGTCGGACCAAAGCGTTCAGTCCTGGGGCCGACCAAACCACCTTCGAGTCGTGAAATTTGTTTGTTAGGGAGTGCTTTCAATCTGTTGGGATGGATTGGGAAGGTGGGTGGTTATTCCAGGGGTTCTCTGAAAATACTACAAGCTTTGTAAATCAGTCCGTGCTTTCTGCGTTGGCCATGATCTGCCCTAATTGACGTAATACCATCTGTTAGGGAGCTGTTTTGTATGTGGTACGAGTAGAATTTATTCGATAATTTAAGGATATAGTCCTTTATTAGGGGCAGATCATAGCACTGTGCATGCATATCTGCCACTCGAGAGTACCTATTACCGTTTGTAATTATACGAAGTACCTTATTCTGTAGTATTTGTAACTTACCCATATGGGTAGGCGAAATACTACAGAACACCGGACAGGCGTATGTTAGAGTAGGACGTATGATCTGTTTGTATATCAGGAGCTTGTTGTCCATAGTCAGCGAGGAATTCCTCGCTAACAGCGGATACAAGCTCCTGATTGCAGCGTTGGCCTTTGCCAATAAGTACTCTGTTATCATACGCCTGTCCAGAGCTACCCCCAGGTATTTCACAACAGCTTTGCCCTCCTCCTCAGTGTCTTCGACACGCAAAGGTCGGAATAGCGTATTGTTGGTATATTTCCTTGAAAAGGCCAGAAGCTCTCTACCTTTTCTTTCCAAGTACGCTCGATGTTCCTCGACCCTAATAGGGATTTTCTTTCGTGCGCTCCGATTGAAAATAAAAAAGATAAAAAATCATTATATCCTCCTGTGTGTAGGTCATTCTTAAGTAGGTATGAAATTGATATACTCACAACCGTCATTTTTATGAATACCATTTCACGTTCAATTGACGTAATATAATGATAAATGTTATCCCAGTTACAGCGATGACACTTTTTTTTTTGGTGAATGAGGAACTCATCAGTCTGGTGTGTTTCGAATGCATTTATTAGTTCAAATGTACCGTGAAAGATAAATTGACGCATTGAACGGTCGATTAGTCGCAGGCACGGCAAGTGCAATGTTATGCCGCAAGTGGGAACAAATTGCCTAATGCCTTCTTCTCTCCCACGCAAATCATATTTTATGGCAAAGACCTTGTCTAGAGAAAAAGTTGAAATGAATTTAATTTTTATGCAATCTTCCGGTTCGTTATAAAAATATCACTTTTACATATTACTACAATACACAATTCTTTTATTTTATTTCACTAACACAGTTTCCATTCTGTCAATGATTTTTTTTTTCAATCAACAAAAGCTATTTTGAACATGTCACACCAGTCTCGAGAATCTATTCTGGTTGTAGAATATATACAAGGTGGGTCACGGTGGATGGCCTATTAGATGTATCTCGAGAACGAAACGATAGAACATTCTGAAAATTCGAATGCTTTGATAATTGAACATTCTCTATTCGTCTAAAATGTTTTCATCGATACAGTGTTGCCACTTCTAGCAGAAACTACTAACAATTTTGTTATTTCAAATGGAACACCCTGTATTTTATTGCATTTTTAGATTCTTCCTGGTGAGCTGATTTCATCGATGTATCATACTTGGGGTCAAGCAGAAATTATAACAGAGATATAAGGTATTCAAAATCTAGATTTTCCAATCTAAAATTTTTTTTTGTCGAAACTATTCATTATTGATCAAAACGGCGTACATGTCCCTATTCCAACTCTTGATTCACTATCTACTGGAATTTAATTGGAAAAAATACAGGGTGTTTCAAGATTCAGAATTCTGATCACCCTGTATCTGTTCCAATTGAATGTCAGTAGATAGTGGATTGAGAATCGAGATAGGGACATGTAAACCGTTTTGATCGTTAATGAATAGTTTCGACACAAAAAATCCCAAAATTGAAAAATCTCGAAATCAGCTCTTTAGGAAGAATCTGAAGATGCAATGAAATACAGGGTGCTCCATTTAAAATAACGAAGTTGCTAGTTGTTTCTGATAGAAGTGGCAAGACTGTATCGATGGAAACATTTTAGACAAATAGAGAATGTTCAATTATTGAAACATCCTAATATTCAGAATGTTCTATTTTTTCGTTCTACAGATACATCTAATAGGCCATCCACCGTGACCCACCCTGTATACCGGGTGTTCCAGTATACCTGTTCCAATAGATTATCTCAGCCACAGCCATCTCAAAAGATGAAAATTTGAAAAAACTACAATTCTGATAACTTGAAATTATTATTGGAGTCAAAATCACGATAACAAAAATACCGTAGCCTACTGCAATTCGTTCAATTTGAAATTTCAATTGTCGTTTTCTCCATCAAATCAAATTTAAAATACGAAGTGTGATACATCGTTGAATCGGTAATTTTGAGTAGAAATCAAAACTTGCAAGAAATATACAGGGTGCTATTTGAAATAAAAAAGTCAGAGTCACTTCCGCTCAAACCGGAAGTGACTTTCAATTTTTGTTTCTCTCAGTTGAAGCTTCCTTGAACGAATTGAAGATTATGAAATTTTCGAATTTTTATTTCTCGAAATGGCTGAGGTAAATCATTGGAACAGGTATACTGGGACACCTGGTATTTATATATATATATGTATATATAGGGTGTACCTAGGTCAAAGCTCTGATAATAGGTACCTTTATTCGATACTGTCTGTAGGTTAATCGAGGAGGTGGTATATTCATTATTCCAAATTTTTTGGGATATTCTCTCCTCGTTTCTATAAAATAAAAATATGAATATTATTTCAATATACGTGTAGTAAGGACAAATCAGATGATTTGCTCCAAAATGTCACTGCGTTTAAAGAATTTTCCTATCAGAGAGCCTAAAAGAAAAATTCACTAGCTTGTCAGTGACAATTTGTATTGAAAAAATTTTTGGAGAAGGGAAATAAAGGTATATAGAAAAAATATCAAATTTTCACTTATCTTTGGACGTTTCGGGACCGGTTCTGCTCCAAAGATAAGTGAAAATTTGATATTTTTTCTATATACCTTTATTTCCCTTCTCCAAAAATTTTTTCAATACAAATTGTCACTGACAAGCTAGTGAATTTTTCTTTTAGGCTCTCTGATAGGAAAATTCTTTAAACGCAGTGACATTTTGGGGCAAATCATCTGATTTGTCCTTACTACACGTATATTGAAATAATATTCATATTTTTATTTTATAGAAACGAGGAGAGAAAATCCCAAAAAATTTGGAATAACCTTTATTCGAGCTAATTTGGTGTTATCGGCATTTCAAAGAATCAATAGAACTAATCTAATAAAAGTAACACCCTGTATATTTGGTAATTTGTTTTTCAAGATAAGTACCTAATAAGAATTTGTATCTCGATACACTTTTGTATGAGACTATCATGATCTAAATAATTGTCATAGGCGTGTTTCTAATTACGTAGTTATCTGATATCGAATTATTTCTTGATTTTCTTTGATACGATACGCTATAGGTATGATCCCATCCGACATGAATCACAGTCAATAAATGGGTTATTTACATAAATAACATTCAGGAGTAGCGACAGGGCGTTGCCGAAAGATGACGAAAGAACAGAACGAAATCATGGATTATAGGTATTTTTTGTCGAAAATAATATCGAACTCGAAAGTGTATCTGCAATTTTTGGAAATCATTTATAAGATGTTAATTTAGTATTATATCCATGACTTTATATGTATTGATGCCGGGCGTTTAATGATAATCTGTGGTATGGTGACAGCGCACATTCATTTGTTGAAATTTTAAATTTTCAAAAAATATTTTTCTGCGATTTCTACCTATTGTCATCATGTCTCATACAACATCCAATCTATTTATCACCCCAATTTTGAAAAAAGAAAAAATGATGAGCATTTGAGCCATTAAAATATCAAAACACAAATTCGTAACACTATTTTCACTGGCAAAATTGTTTCATGCGGTAACTATAGAAAATACTTGAATAATGACAACAATAATAATGAACAATAATCTCCATGTTTGAATTGAGATAAACAGATCATCTCCATTTGAAAGAATTGAAGAATATAGTAAGATAAGGCAGATCAAGTGTATTTGGGGAGACTAGTAAATATTTTTTTATCTGAATTTCCTCAGCACATGGATAGATGGATTTTCTCAACGATATACAGAGGAGTGCACAGAAAAACAGCCAGTGCTGTATATCTTCTGTATAATTCGAGATCAAATTTCCAAAATTAGTTGGTAGCAACCAGTTTCGTTTTAATTTTGGAAATCCGATCTCGAATGATTCAGAAGTTACAGCACTGTCTGTTTTTTCTGCACTTCTCTGTATAGGAAAACTAACTTTACATCTAAACGACTTCTTGAATATAACATAATCATTATAGTTTGTTGATGATGATATTTTTTGCAGAATTGACCAAGGAACTAGAAGGAGTCATCAAAAGTGAAAATTTCGTTCTCTCTATAAAGCACATCAAACCGAGAAGAAAATCACGTGGTCACAGCCAGCTAGAAACACTTTTCTCCGTTGATTTTCCTGGAGCCGAAGACAAATTCTCATTATCGCTGGATAGAAAATTGAAAAGAGGTGAGACCACGCGATTCACTATACCTATTGATTTCGTTCTACAAAGTACCATATTTCATTACTGAATCTTCTTCTTCGTTTTAGTGATTGTTGAAAGTTTAGAAGACGGTAGGAAGAGGTCTCAACATTTCGTGGTAGATGCTCTACATGACGAAAGTGTCATTAAGTCTCTAATTTTGGCTGTGAATCAATCGAAACCTGGGGCACATGCCACATTGTATTTGGACTGCACCTCTTATGGTATGGTGGCTCTACCAAAAACTTTGAGGGATATGTTTAATAGCATGAAAAATCCCAGATTTGAAGCAGTGAGTAAAACTATTCAGAATTCTGGAAATTTTGTTGTGTGGTGCCTTCAAAATCATATCATGGAATGGAATGAGAGGTTTGAATAATAAACTGGTGTTAGGTCAATTCTATTTTTGATAGTTTTAGCAGTCCCTTCGTATAAAGACGCAATGACAATCAGAAAAATGCGACTTGTACTAGTTTTCTGTAAACTAATAAAATAAGAATGCCGTTACAACAGATTTGTCGAGCCATATCAAATTAATCGTTTACTCGAAAGTGAAGTAACTTGTCTTTTCCATAAACGTCCATCTATACAGAGCGTATCGATATTGAACTGATGTGAACACAGAGACAAACGTTTCTACTCAATAGTGATACTTTTATAAATTGTTAATACTGAAATCAAATTTCATTCATCTTTGGGGCGCCCTTTTGTTACTCTCAAGTGGTTCAGGATGAACTTTTGGAATTTCGAAATATTCAAATACCCAGTCACATTTCGCAGTTTTTTATATGATTTTGATTATTTGTTAATTTCCGGTTCCGCCAGAAGAGACCTCAACTGTTGATTTTCAAGAGGAACACCCTGTATTTTCACACTTTTAGGACAGCGAGATATTTCTACATACAGTAGCGCTATTTATGGGGATATCTCTAGTCTAGTCTATGGAAAATGACCTGGCACAACATTCGAAAGAGCAAACGATACTTATGAAAAACGCTAATTGTGAATTTAAGAGTAAATTACAAGGAAGAATTTCATCTGGCTGAAGATGGTCTTTTCTTATACCGAAACATGTGTGATAACGTCATTAAATATCGTGGAAATGACCTTGAGCATTCCTTCCTTCCTTCCTTTGAAGATTCCAGTATAATTTGAGCAATATTGACTTGTACCAAAGAACAACGAAGAGAGTTGTGTCATTTAGTGTAAATTGATTTTTTGCTATCAAAGGAAATAAAACAAAAAACTAAGATCAATGAAGTCACGTCACAGCCATTTGATACTGAATGTGCAAGGATCTTTTGAAACAGAAGATGTAGAAAATACAGGGTGATCCTCCAAAACAGAAGAATCTGTAGAATTTTTTAGGAGAATTCATGAAACTATTGATTATGGTGTCCTCGAAGAACTCATTAAATAACGAATTTTTTTAACTTGAACTCCTTGATTGGGTGGAAGTATTGGAAAGAAATATTCTCAGATAAAATTATGAACATAAAAATGCTTTGAATCCATAGAATTTCAGTATTTCCTGAGTGAGAATTAGGACACTCTGTAAGTGACCCCGCTCGACCACATAGGCTGCAAGACCGCTTGTGTAAAGATCACGTCGAACTCATATTACCGAACGATCTATTTATATTGAGCAATATACGCAATAGAAAAAAGTACTACTACTTCTTGTTGCTCTTTATATCTTTTTTTCCTACTCACATAACTCATCGTCAGCTGTAGACATTCTTCTCTATAAAATGCGTTAACAAATACCTAGTTTTCAAAAACGAATGCCAAGTTCATTTAGTTTGCATGCCTAGATATACTTATACTCAGGTCGCAGATGAATCTGAGAAGTTGGCTACACTGTATATCAATCAATAATGAGGGCTAACATCATTTTTTGTACACCAAAACGCGACACTGGAACTTGAGGTCATGGTTGGTAGAACTGATGAATATACTTCTGCTTCTCGTGGTATTTGGCGTTTTCCTACGTGAAAACATGTAGGTCGTCTTTCGATGACTTGAAGTTTACTAGTTGTTTAAATATTCTACATAACTTTTTTCGAATATTTTCGACAAAACAGGCCATAGTCTTCAGGGCAAAATTTTGGATTTTGTGACTACGACAGTAACCTCACGTTTTAGTTGCGTCAACTGGTGAGTTTGAAAAGGTTAGCTCCTAATGCACGCGTATTTGCAATTATCTCAATAAGAGGTTATCGAAATAGGAAGTGAAACATTGTTTTTTCCTCATATTCCAAGTACCATGAGCGAAAGTACCCAGTAGAACTAGATGGCCACAGAGACCTTAGGATGGTTCTGAGTAGAAACGAATGCCCCCTTCCACTAGATGCTGACGTCAGCAAGAAATTCGACCACTTATTCACCACAGATCTCAGCAACGACCTCAAAGACGATCCGAACATCCAGGCACAGCAACCAGACTACGAACCGTACAGGGGAGATATCCCCTTGGTGTCCAAGCTGGATGACTGTAAGTCATGATTATCGCTTCTTGTGAAGAATTTTCAAAAAAAACAATTTGTTGCAGCTGGCATCCTGAATGCTCTCAACATTCTCATCAAGGTGGTGAACCTGGAGGTCCAGCGCTGCGAAGCTAGTGCCCAAGCCATTGACCATCTCCGTAGGCTGATAGAACAATGTGAAGGATGCCGAAGACAACCAGCACCTGTGGTAGCCACTTGTGCTACGCATCCTCCCAACTGTTTCCCTGGCGTCAGATGCCATGACACTGCTGAAGGACCGAGGTGCGGATCATGTCCCAGAGGCTACATAGGAGATGGTAAGTAGAACAAGCAGTTGTCACAGGCATTCTTTGTTTTCTATTGGACAAGGCTCGCAAAATGCAAAACGCCATCTTGAACTCTAATAGATATCATGTAGTGGTCGTAGCTCTTGTGGTAGCAAATCGGACTCTCAGCCCGATCGTCCCTGGTTCAATCCTCAACCAGTAGCACATGATCTCAGTTGGACTTTGGCCTCATTGTGGCCCAGTATAGGCCAATATAGGGCCAATATCCTCTTCCTAGATTCGTGCTTCTGGGGTCAGTAAAGATGAACTTGCTTTTGTATCATCACATTTAGCATTGGAATTTACCGCCATTGGAATACAAAATATCTGCAACGTCACCTGGTGATTGTTGCATGCGGTACTCTGCTGGTAGCGACATAGCTATACTACTAACCCATGAACTCTTGACGAAACTATGAGCATTAAATATCGGTGGATTGGTTGCAGTCTTCTGTAGAAACGGGCAGTCTTCTGTAGAAACATCCGTCGGCCGTGGGCCCACCATGTACTCATGGCGTCGGGGCGGGGGTAGTCCCAGGTGATTCCAGACACCACTGGTTAAAAGCTTGAGTTTCCCACTCTTGCCATGGTAGCGGTACGTGGGAAAGACCGCGAACGGACACCCATTAAACGGAACTGGACCGGTCGACATGGGTAGCTGGGCTTGCTCAGCGAAAATTGGAACTCTGGTGTACCTTGTGCCTTCGTTCGTCAGGAAGGGACAGCCTCAAGCGATCCTACCGCCAGTAATTGTAGGCAAAGCCGGGTCCGGGTCTTCTGTAAGGTAGAGGTACGTGTGAAAGTTCTCGAACGATCACTCATTCAACGGGACGAGAGGATTCTTGTCAACATGAGTAGCGATCAGGCCAAAGCCTCTTGCTACTGTGACCCATCAAACGTAACAAGAGGGATCTTGTTGACATGGGTACCTGGGGTGATGAGGATAGCCCCATCAGGCCGTACATACGGCCAATTGGGTTGGATTCCAGGGGGCAGCGTTTTCCAAAAACACAACCGGACTACGGTAGAGGAAGTGAAGAAGAATCCCACTATGTGTCAAGTGGGAGGATATCTTGCCTGCCTCGGCAGGTGAGCAGCGTTTCTGCTCGGGCACTGATACTGCAGAGCTAGTAGTCTGTCTTGTCAGTCGGTCTCACTATTGGTTTAATAAAATGGTAGCAGGAGAACATGCCGTTACATAACGGAGATGGCTCTAGCGCGCTGATTTGGCGTATCCAAATCCTCCATTTCTCCCTGGGGTGCTGTCGGTATAAGTCGAAAGATAGGTGACCGGCAGTCATCCCTTTGTGACAGGGGAGTGGGAATTGGTCCCTACCGATTGCTACCCCGGTAATACTACAACTGTAGAAACATCCGTGGGTAAATAATTGTCGACTGACGATGTCCAAGAATAAAATTGGTTTGTGAAACATGATTCTATAGGTGTTCAAATTATGTCTGATGGGTGTGAAACCCAGCCAGCCGTGGTCAAAGGTTATTCCATAATAGTAGCGATAGAAGAGTTATAATTTGTCGCTCAGTACACAAGAGGGCGTATCTCAGATATTGTAATTTTTCACAGGAGGACGCTTTTAAAATATCTATGCAATGACCTTCTGTCACAAGAGGATGTTTGAAACTTCCCACTTAGTTGTATTTCAGTTTGGTCGTTCGGAACGTAGATACAGTCAGTCAGATTGACTTCCTACCATAAATCATTGAAAATAGCTCTACAAAAATGGCAAACAGCACTATAATGAAATTACTGAAACAATTTTGTAAATATTATATTTTTTACCATTAGGAATTATATTAGAGTAAAATTGTCTTCTGTAATTTTTTCTGTGTGGGTATAGGAACTTTTTTTGATTATTTTTCATCGAATGTTCTATTTTTTTCTTCAGGGCGTCAGTGCATTCCAGGAAGACTGTGCTCGGAAAACCCCTGTTTTCCTGGGGTCAGATGCAGAGATACCCCTAGAGGGGCCGAATGTGAAGCTTGCCCTAGGGGCTATGAAGGGGATGGTATAACTTGTACGAGGAGGAGAGACCCTTGCGAGTATAACCCTTGTGCCCCAGGTACGTCGCACTACGAAAATTGAGTTTTTTCCTTTTGGTGCAGAATGTTGGTAATATTGTAACGCGAGTGAGACGTTATATCAAAGTATATCACCCCCTATACCTCTTATATTTTGGTCAGTAAATAAACAAAATGGTGAGAATGTAACACACAAGAATTGTACTTGAATTGTGTTTCTGTCAACCTTCTGCACCAAAATAATAAGACATTGTATGCGACTCGTGAGAAAAGTACATCTATGCCACACTATATAAAGCACTACTTGGATTCACACTACTAATGTACTTTTCTAATTAGTTTACAAAGAAGATTCTGTACACTGCACGATTCTGTTTCATTTTGTTTGCTTCTGGACATAATTGGCCGTTGAATCTAGAACATACTGTATCTGAAATTGAATGGGAAACATGCTAAAACTGCTAATAAATTCATATACAACTTCTATGTACACTTTCCTTTGACCACACCTTATACACCCTAATAATAACTAGGTTCTGGAAGAAATATGAATTTGGATGATCTTAGCACAGACATCACAATAACAACTATCTAGACCGCTATATGTCATTGAGCTGGAGTTGTTTCTGCTTGTTTTGATAACGAATTCCATTGGTAAAACTGGCTGGCACTGGGTGCATATTTTGTATTCCATTGGTAAAACTGGTGGCAGCTTTTTTTTATGTAAATAATGAATCAATGCGTTGTTCATATATTGGATCTTTCTTTTATTTTATTCAGACCAGGGAAGAGTCCCTCTTATCCTGATATCTATTATGGAACAAAATAAAAACGGTATTGAAGTTTGATGCGAACAGCCCTTCTGCCCCAAATAAGTTTCAGAAATACATTCTAAGAATTGAAAGAGATCGAACGGAAAAAATAAATATCAAAAACTTGAGAATAGTAAATTTGGTCATAATGTCGATATTTTCTCTAGTTTATGGACAATCTCGGTCTTTTGAACTTTGATTGATCACCTGGGTCATAATCAACTGCATTTCGAAGAAGCTGATTCTCATGAACCTCAGCTTTTTCGAAAGTCTTGATGTTTCGTTCTTTAATGACTGACACGATTGAAGGGAGTTTCAGATCCCTGGCGATCTGGTTATTCCGAACATACCAAGGAGATCCTGTCACCATTCTCGCGACTTTGTTTTGTAATGTTTGTAATCTGGTGATATGAGATTTAGCTGTGTGGCCCCAGACTACTGAGGCATACAGTAAAATTGGCCTGATAGCCATGATATAAATATTCAATTTTTATCTCAAACCCAATTTACTTCGCCTGTTTAGAAATGGATACAGGGCTCCAATGGCTCGTTTAGCTTTAAAAACTTGCTGTTCAATGTGCTGGACCCAGGTGAGCTTTTTGTCAATGCACACACCTAGGTATTTAACTTGTGAAGACCACTCTAACTCATGACCATCCAGGACTATTCTGGTTCTGGGAGGCCTCCGCTCCCTTCCGAGTGCGACCAATTGTGTTTTTGTAGGATTCAATTTGATCTTCCATCTTAGGAAGTACTCCTGAAGAGAATTCAGTGCGCTTTGGAGGTTCATAGCTGCTTGCTCGAAATTTGTCGAATATGCAAGAACTGCCGTATCATCAGCAAGAAGCGACATCTTGCACATCACTGGTCTACGCGTTGTTCAAAATTGTTGAATTTCATAGATGATTTCAAACGAAACGTCATGGCCGCCATTTGGCGATACGTCGAATAAATGGTGACGTCAGTTTTTATGCTGTTTCGTTATTGGTCAGAGAATCTTCCAGTCCCACTCACGAAGCAAGGTTGTCAAGTCACCATTCATAATAAAGTTATCAAACAGATGTTGCGAGTCCTGTCGTTGAATTACAGATAATAGAAGGAACCCATAATACTATAGTGAATTCTTGACTTTTTCTACCAACCAGCATGTCCAAATATGTCTTATACTCCATAACAAAAAATCATGTATATGTTGGAAACTTGACAACATTGTGCTGAATGCTGAGAACTTGCAAGACCACGCCCACAAGTCGTGTGCCGTATTGCCACGTTCACCGCTTTTGATGTCGTCTAGTGTGAATTAAAATGATTATTATTTACACAAATTAATTGTAAGCAAAAAGCCACAAATCCTGAGGGAACATTTTGAGACGATTGATTTCTCATTGCTATAATTAGGAATAGCACATCATTGGAAAATCATGAATAATCGAATAACTAAGTTCCCAATCGTATTCCAAAACAAGGCAACTGTGCAATGGTCTGCCCCTAATTACGAAATCGTGACATCAGTTTTTACTCGCTGTAAATTTCTAGCCGTTTGAAAATTACCGTAGCATCATTGATGATTTTATTTCTGACAGTGACATTATAAGCTTATATCGTCATAGTTACGATATCTATAATAAGGGTCATAACTCCCTTGGGATGTTATAGATGCTATAATTCCCTCTAGCTAAAATTAAATAAGAAATGCATAGCAACAACCACGCAATAACGTAGCAATAAGGAATCTCCTATTCGCGGTAGTCAAGATCATCATCTGACGTTCTGATGACATTGAAACTATACGGAAAAACATGTCTAACTTCCAATCGGGAAGGTATCTAATGAATGAAATCAGTCAGAAATAAAATCATCTATGTATCACGGGAATTACTGAGCCTCAATAACCTCTGGCAATTGCTGTCCCTCGGGCCAGAGGCCCTCGGGACGCAAACTTTGCCATCGGTAATTAAGGCCCTCATAATTCCCTTAATACATAAATAACTATTAACACCTTTAAATCGACTGAAAAACTCCAGGAAAATATGAAATTAAAAGGTATTTGGGGGATAATTCTATTTAGGAAATAGGAAAAGAATTATTCCACCCGCCTTTCGCACTTTTGAAAATGGCGGAATCATCTGAAAATTAATAGTTTGAAAGGCAAATTTTAGTGGCAATCTGATAATCATCATCAAAGAGTGATGAATAAATACCACTCTGGAAATACTGCCCACTTGTTAATTTGAAAATATGTTCGCTGTCACTCTTCGGTATTGATATAATGTAATTATATCTCTTCATTTTGTTGAAATGGTATTACATAAGTTCAGAAAGACGAATTAGATATAAATTCAATAAGTCAAAACCAGGAAGAAACCAACTTAAACGATCTAACCTGCAAGAATAATTTTACCAAGATATCATTTCGTATTCCATTGGGAATGCACCAGTTCACATTTAGGAAGAAATAAATATAGTGCAAGTACGAAACTAGTGCACCACCAGATTTACAAATGGAATTCGCTTTTAGGTTTCTGTATTCCAGGGTATTATGAAGGATATTGACACTAGCACACTATAGGCATCACACAATTTATTAGTTGTAGTTGCACAATGTAATGTAGTGACGTTCGTCTATGACCAACTGATATATTTTTTTTATTTTGGTACAGGTTGTACACCTGTCTGGGGACGACCACGTCAGTGACAACATTTGCTGTACAATATCCAGATTATCCCCTCTGGATGCAGAATCCCAATATTATATAGTATTTTATATACTGAACTTTATAATGACGACACTAACACAAGCATTTGCACTTAGTACAAATTGTAGCGATGACTTGTATTGGCACAGTATGATAGAAGTATGAACTAACCGAAACATAACATTTTTAAAAAAATACTGCCACTTGAAAACTGAGTTAACCATAGTAAGTACAATTGAAAAGATATTGAATCTCCAAAGATGTTTGCCCGAATCAGCAATTAGTTCATTCATTCTTTGGCCATGTTCTCCTGAGTAGCTAGGAAGAGGAACAGAAAATAATACGATACTTTTCATAGATCCAATATCTTTTCTTTACCTATCCAAGTAAGATATTGATTACCTACATATCCACGGGGTGTCCCATTTGAAACGAAATTACGTTAAAAACCCACAAAAATTCGAATGATAAGTGAGATATTCATACTGCATATATAAATATTCATTTGAGAGAAAAAGAAAACTATTATTCTTAGACAGATTGGGAATTCATATTAACATCTACCTCATTGAAACCAGAGGTAAGTAATTTTCATGAGGTATATAGGTAATGGGTATAAGTGATTGATTGATTGAATAATTGATTGACTCATATTCCCCTTTAACATGGTACAAATCTTTTGATAAATGGTCTTCCTTTCCCATATACATAATAAATAATTATGATTGAACACCCAAATTTTGATGACTTTCTCGAAGATTTCTGCTTTTGAAATTGAAGGGTAATGAAATTAACGTTTCAGTCAATGACCTGGGGTGAAAACTATAATATGTATCTAGGCATTTTATGAGGATGTGTTTCGTTTTGAATGCGACACTCTGTATATGACAGCACGAACCAAATAATGTTGATACTTAAGTATGATTATACTTACAAACATATATGATGTATAGTAGTAATTTGTGTAGTTTGATTATAGTTTAGGAATAAAAAATATTGTTAAAAGGCATGACCATAATTTTATAGGTATATATACAAATTATGATGTTGAGAATTTTTCAAGGCTGCTGGAATGATCCCTTAAATGCGAAACTTATTCTCAATTAACAAAATTCCTACCTCTATCTACCTCTAAAACATCTAGAAACATGTGAAAATCATAAAATGTTGAACTCTCATGTTTTCTCCTGTGTGATCCAAAGTTAATAATGTTCATTTATTAATATATCGTAATACCATCTACAAGCTGTAGGAAGAACATTGACGATCAGTGTTAATAAAATAAAACGAATAAGGTAGGTATTATGGAATTCTAGCACAATTAGTTGAGCAATGGATAATACTATTTTCTATAAGTACCGTGAGAAAATCTTGTAGCTTATGAGAGTCAATGAATTCGATCCAGTTTTGACTTCTAGGTCACCTGATAAATGTCCAAAGCCTTCAGAGAATTCCAATGAGAACAATAATAACTCACTTGAAAAAAAACTCAATCGATGATTATTGATAAAGAATATCCTACTTTTTCTTTAATGAATATCTTGACGACCCAAATATGGAAATACACTTAACTGCATCGCCTGAAAGAAAAAATGTTCATGTTTTTTTTCATCGACTTGTTCTTGGTATGTGGTGTCCCTTAGGAACTAACTGTGTACCAATCGGAGAGGAACCGTACTATACTTGCCAAGGATGTCCCGAGGGGTCCACTGGAAATGGTTCGAACTGCCAGGATATAGATGAGGTAGGTGGAAAATGGCCAGAGTAATATGTACTTTAATTGATCCTCCTGTAGCTCTTCTAATGGGGAAGACCACTGAGAGAAGAAATCCGTGTAAAGCTCTTTCAATCGACGAATCATGATTTACGTTTGATGTACAATCAATATTATGAGTTTAAGTTGAAGGGAATCGAATCTATATCGCTTTGAAATCAGCATATTTCATTCGATATTTCAAACAGCCAAATATGATGGTGGAGTCGTGACGTATTAGTCCCGAACTGTAGCTATCTCTCTCTGATACCTCGTCATTCTGCAGTGTGATTGGTCAGTTCAAGGACAATAGGCGTGTTGGGAATAAGACGTCGAACCAGTCACACCAATGAATTGACAAAATTTCAAATGGCGCAGGAATTTTGTGTTTTGAACTGGACATATTCTAATTTATTATTTTCATCGTCTTAGCATGAATGACAACATTCAAAATTAATTCGCTGGTAGTTTTTCAGTATAGAGTTCACGATAATGTCATTTTAAAAATTCAGTGGTCTTCCCCATTCTCGCTCGTTTTTGGTGAAATACTGACCAGATAGCAGATTAATATTTCGAAATAATGGTTTGATCGTTATACAGGGAACATAATGTTTCGGATTGACAATTTTATTGCGAAAAATGATCATCAAAAAGCACGAATCTCAACATATCACGTGATGGGAATGGTTCGAAAGATTCAGGAACTTCTCTTATTTGATGACTAGTAGCACCTAGTAGTTCATGAAATGACAAAAACTACCTTGGTAGCAAAAATACACTTTATGTCTTGCAAAGAAGTAAATAATGATGGTATGTTCTATAGCTAGTGGTGAAAAATAGTCTATTGTTTAACGAGCACGGAATGATAGTGATTTCCTACCAGAATGAAGTTTGCAGCGCATGCTGCAATCATTCAAGTAGAAAATTATCATTCCGTGCAAGTTGAACACTATAATTTTTCTACGGCTATAATAGATAACAGCGATATTTTCGATTTTTTCGTCTTGTAGCCATCTGATTTCCTGTCAAGTAATGCTCATCTATTAGACAGAGCTGTCATTGATTCACATTTGACATTCCATGAGCGATGAGATTTTTTTTTGAAATAATTACACTATAGTTGAGTTCGGCAATTCCATCCGAGATACGAGGGATTTGTTTGTCATGTGACCACGGATTAGAGAGATTAATTGGAATTAACGAACGGTGCAGAGCGCTGTCATGATAAATCTGTATGAAGTATTTTAATTTTTGTTAAGACATATATTATTCAACGGCCTTATGTGGTTAGATTAGTTGTTTAACATTAATTTTCTCAAGAAATTCACATAAAGTGAATAATAGAATAATACAACGCACTTTAACAGTTAACCTCACAAATTCAGTTTAATCGCTTTGCTCGGTCAAAATTCTCGGAGCATGAAGATCATCGTCGGATCGCTCCGATTATCATTGCCGAACGGATGAGATTTACTTCCCCTACATCTAGATGTCATAAACGAACGACACAGACTGATCGGAGCAGTCTGATGTCAATACCGAACTCAACTAATGGAGTCATTGTGATATCAGATACGGAAATAATTGATGACATACACAAAGTACCTCATTGACGTATCGAACACAGTAAAACAAGAGCAATTTTGTGTTATAGCCGTAGAAAAAAGTATTTTATTCAGTTGTCATTCCTTGTAAATCCTAAAATACCCCCTCCCAATTTCTTCCAGTGCGACCTCGTGCAGCCCTGTGACCCGAGAGTCACGTGCCACAACCTGCGGCCTGGTTTCCGATGCGACCCCTGCCCGCCCGGCTTCACGGGCAGCCAGGGCGTCCAGGGCATCGGCTTGGAAGCGGCTGCCCGGCAGCGGCAACGCTGCATCGACATCGACGAGTGCGCAGTCGCCCAACCTTGCGTGCCCCACTCTGACTGCGTCAACCTTGAGGGGTCCTATCAGGCAAGCATTCCGAGATTTCTAGAGAAAGATGGATACCCAGTAGAGGTCAGAAAGTATCGATACTCTGGTGGGTATCGACACTTCGATACTGAACGCACCATAATATCGATATATCGATACTTGGCATCGATATTCTGTCCAGAATCGATATATCGATACTACAAAATGGAGCATTTTAAAAATCATCAACTGTCGAAAAGTCAATAGTGTCACTGACCATCATTCGAATTCAGCATAGCAGCAATTTTATTGCTCTGAAACTGATCATAACACAAAAAGTCTATATATATATATACAGGATGTTTCAAAAAAACCTAGCCCCCTTGCTAGGTTAGGTAGAACACTGCAAAATAAGTTGGGTTTGCTCAGTGAGTAAATGTCGTAACGGCATTCGTTTCCATGGTACAAGGTGTTAAAAAATTGATTTTTTTACACATTTTTCACGATTATGTCGAAACTACTGGCAACATCGTAATGGAATTTTGTATGAATGTTCCTTGAAACCTGACACATAACATGCATTTATTTTTATATCTGACTCTCATAGAGGGCGCTAGTTACAGGGTTCGTACCGAGTAGTTTGGAACATAACTTTTTTGAGGTTATATTTTTCAATCCAAATATGATATGAACTTGAACAACATTCAATTTCACACTAAAAAGGTACTCTTGGTGAAACTCGATACTATGTTCTGTTTTCGGAATATTTCGATTTGAAAATAATGGAGTAATAGCTGATGCTGGTATAAAATGAATTTTATTGAGTTCAATTACCTGTTTATTCAGATCCAGAAACAATAAAATTATTCTTGTGCTGAAGTTATTGATGGAACAAAGAATCATAAGTTGAAAATTAAGATATTTGACTTGAAACATGAAATATTGAATCAGTTAGAGTATAAGTGTTCAAAATGTCCTACGTTTCGATGAAAAAACGATTCTATATTCTTTTCTTAAGAGTGTATTATTCTTCTTAACAGTTGAGGATCAGCTGTTAGGTCATTTTAGTGATGTTCAATTATGTCTTACAACTCTTGATGTGAATTTACCTATGTAGCATAGCCTTTCTGCTCAAGATACAATAAAACTGTGTAATCCATCAAGTCAAATCTGTTTCGATGTTACTCTTGTGATTCATTGTTAAATCAATAAGTTCAGCATCAGAAATGTATTGTTTTTTTTTTTCGGTTTTCAATAAATAGGTGATATTTTTTCATAATACTCACTCTAATACATAGCTTTATACCAGCAACAGTTATCACTTCATCATTTTCAAATCGAAATATTCCGAAAACGGAACACAGTATCAAGTTTTACCAACAGTACCTTTTCGGTGTGGAATAGAATGATGTTCAAGTTCACATCAAATTTGGATTGAAAAATCTAACCTCAAAAAAGTTATGTTCAGAACTACTCGGTACGAACCGTGTAACTAGCGCCCTCTATGAGAGTCAGATATAAAAGCAAATGCATGCGATGTGTCAGATTCCAAGAAACATCTATACAAAATTCCACTACAATGTTGCCAGTAGTAGTTTCGACGGAATCTTGAAAAATGTGTAAAAAAATCATTTTTTCAACACCTTGTATCTTGATAACGGATGCCGTTACGCAATTTTTTCACTAAGTGAACCCAACTTATTTTGCAGTGTTCTACCTACCCTAGTAAGGGGGTCAGGTTTTTTTGAAACACCCTGTATACATATAGATATATCATGAAGTATAAATTCAATGCAAAAATCAGAACTTCAAACCGAAGGTAAAAGTTGCCATTCGACAAATATAATATCTGTCAGTATCGATACCACATGAAAATGTATCGATACTTCGATACTCGCCTTGGTATCGATATATCGATACTTAGTATCGATACGTTCCGACCTCTAATACCCAGTTGACCAAAACATGCAGCAACTTCATCACTGCTGCATTTCAAATGTGCCATGTTTTATCACAGAGATGTTCCCAACAGAGATAATATAGCAAAGATGAACGTCCGCCTTAAGGCTTTATGACACTTGTTGAATTTGATGACAAAAATATTTTTTCTACTACTGCTATGAAAAGCAGCGCATTTCTCATAGCTTACTTAGTTTCAAAACCATGTATTGCTCATACTGTGAGAAATATTTTTTCTCACGCACTTTGCCAACATCACATACATTTCCATGGAGAATCAACAAACGCACAACACAACGCCCTTTAGGCTCGTGCCACAAACTTTCACACTCGTGAGAAGAGTTGAACTTTTCCCACTTGTTGCACAATATACTATTATATAAAACCATATATGTAATGTTGTCATTACTAACGTCATTGAAGGTTGGTAAGTGTCACATTACACACCTCTACTTCCCGCTCTCATTTCCCGCCCCTCACTACTTCTCGCCCTCACTCATGTAATAATTCAGGTATGTTCAGAAAGAAACATAGATTTATTAATTTTGATCGAAATAAGTTGGTTGTAAATAAAATAGTACACAAACCTCGGTAGGAAGTTTCATTCCTGTCTCGAGATTATAGACGCTAGGAATGAATCACTTCCCACCTCGGTGTGTAATATACTAATATCTTCCATCATATCTGTCATCCCTATCTCTATCCTCCTTTCGATGGAATTCATGGTTGTTTGAATTCTTGCTGTTATTCAGTGCGGGCCGTGCCACAGGGGCTTTGTGGGCAACCAGACCTTGGGATGCCGCGAGGCGGAGGGCTACTGCCTGGGCGGCCAGGAATGCGCCAGGGAAGCGCAGTGCACCAACCTGGGCTGGGGCCAGTACGTCTGCCGGTGCAGGATCGGATGGGCAGGAAATGGGGTGTACTGCGGCAGGGACACGGACCAGGACGGCTGGCCGGACCAGCAGTTGCCCTGCAGGGACAGGTTCTGTGCCAAGGTGAGTGACGGTCCATGGTATTAGAATTATAAAAACATCAAAAAACCTGAATTATTGGAAACAAAGATCAGTTTGAGCAGATGAGTCAGAAAGCTATCCCCAATACTAATAGCCGTTATTCTAGCACGGAATATCCCAATCAGCACCAGACATCTTAAAGACGTACATTTTACGACTTACTTACGGCTTTACGTCCAGGGACGTATAAAGTACGTCTTTAAGATGTAAATCCATGTACATCTTAAAGACGTACACGAATTTACGTCTTTAACACGTACATTTTAGGTCGTATCCACGTCGTTCCTCCCATGTCGTATAAAAGACGTCTTAAAGACGTACATTCCAGTACGTCAATTCGACTTATAGAACAATAATGTAAGTTATTTTCTGAAGAAAAACAAAATGTCATCTCTTCACGTTTTTTATTTTCAATTGTTCAGTTTTTTCTTATTTTCAACAAAAGTGATGTTTTTGAATTTTTTCGTCCGACATTTTGGAGCCTTCGTGTTAGATTCTCGAATTTTTACAAAAAAATCATATTCTCCGACCCCAAAAGTCCTATAGTAATCAATTTTGAATAAAATCGGACTATAATCACAAAACTCGTCCGCCATTTTGAAGCCGACATCTTGGATTTTTTATTTTCGACGAAAGGAATTATAATCTCTGATCCCGAAATCCTTCAGATGCCAATTTTGAATCAGATCAGACCATAATCAGAAAACCATATGCCACATCGTCCGCCATATTGGATCCGCCATTCTGTTTTTTCCATTCAATAATAATATCACAACGAATTGTCACCGGAATAATATTTACTTACCAAATTTCAAATCAATCGGACGATTTAAAGTGAGTCAAATTTAACTTGCACGTTTTGATTACAAACAGACACAAGGACATGTTAAACTAAGTAAAATCTTGTTATGTGATATATAGAACAAACAGAGTAACAGAAGAAGTGAATATGGTCACATATGGTATAATCATCGAAGTCAAGCAACAAAGAGCGCGGTTAGTACTTGAATGGGTGACCGCTTGTGTCTACCGTTTGATGAAGTCGTTTATTTCCCTTTTATTTTGCTTGTCTGCACTTGTTGCTAACTTCAGTGCACAAGTGAACTTCAACTGAAACTATGTGATTTTTCCGTAATTTGCACCTAAAAAAGACGTACATATTAGTGGAAAATGTACGTTTTAAAGACGTCTTAAAGACGTCTCTTGGGCGACATGTACGTCTTAAAGACGCCTTTAAGACGTACTTTGGCTGATTGGGATCTACACAATTTTCATTTCAATAACATAAACTCATTCTTTTTCTCCCCGCTAATTGAGAGCGACATTCCAGAGAGTAGGTATAGCTGCTCAAAAACCTAAGTATTCCACTGGAGTAGACAACATACCAATGGTACTGATAAAAAGACATAGTATTGCTCTGAAGGAACCACTTGCCTATTTATTCAACCTCTCACTCTCAACTGGTATATTTCCAGACAGTAGTGTTGCCACAGACATATGTTTTTTCGAGCGATCTACGCTGACAAAGACGAGCGAGATCTTGACTCAAAGAGCGAGATTTTGTTGTTGTTTTTTAAATACAGGGATCAACGACACGACTTATAATTTATTCGATTTTTCTCCAGGATAACTGTCCTTATACGCCAAATTCTGGTCAAGAGGATGCAGATGGTGATGGTTTGGGCAATGTATGTGATCCTGATGCTGATGGTGATGGTCATGTGGAACGTGTGAGTAAAAACTTTCGATTTCGAGAATGTACAACTTTTCTGTTGAAAGTGGTTCATTCGAAATGAAGATTTTTTTTATTTGAACGGTTAGTAATGAAGTCAAGGCCAAGATCAATTGATCACACCAAGTAGGTATATAACCGGTTTTTCGATACCAAGTTAGGAATGTTTTCCGTTTTCCCGTAGTTTTCATGTCATCGCAACGTCAGATGATGACTTTGGCTACTGCGAATCAACCACAAAAAAGACTGAGTTTCATGAAAATTTGGACTAATCGACCTTCTAGTACTAGTGCGTTTATTAGTCTGAACAATTTCTCTGTCAAAATAAATCATACGGTGTTACTATCTTGAAAATTACAATGGTTATCCTAGAGCTTTGAGGCCAACAGTTATCTAACAATCTAACAACCAAAAAAATTTCAAAAAATTGTGGAATATATGGAAGGACAGAGCTCTTCAAGTCAATAAAATAACATCTCACTCTGATTTTTCAAATTGCAACCCCATTATTTTTCGAGAGGTTGTGAGTTCGACTCTCACACGGGGCGGTAGAGTTTTTTCATTTTCCATTGTCACTAGAAATTAGGTCTTTCCATTTTTATCATTATATGTATCTTTTCGGTTTAGTAACCGACAAACATTATCACTTGACTCCTTTGTATAATTAATTATTATCAATAATCATACCTATCAAAATACAACCCCGAACATTCAAGGCAATATCAGCAATACTCCCTTACGAAAAAGAACGGTGTCGATAGCTTGATGGTTAGCGCAATTAGTTCTCAAAACTAATATATACAGTGTGCCCTATTAGAATACTCAAAAATTAAGTAACTTCGTTACAATCTTCTTCCATAGGATAACTGTCCTTTGCATCCCAATGTCGACCAACGAGACTCGGAAAGAGAAGGGGGAGACGAAGTAGGGGACGTGTGCGACAACTGCCCCTACGTGATGAACCCTGATCAGAGCGACGTCGACAAGGACGGCAAAGGAGACGCTTGCGACGAGGACATAGACAACGACGGAGTGTACAACGCGCAGGACAACTGCGTCCGGGTGCCGAATAGGGACCAGAGCGACGCCGACGAGGATGGAATAGGAGATGTTTGTGATAACTGCCCCAACGGGTACAATCCCAACCAGGAGGACTCGGACGAGAATGGTGTGGGGGATGTTTGTGACTCCTCCGTGGATACTGACAAGTTAGTATTCTTTTCTCTTCTGAATTTTTTTTATGTTCTGGTTCCCACGAGAAGGGATATCCTGTAATGTTCAGAGAACATCGTCAGAACACATATTCGGTTTCCGACATGAAGACATTTCCATATTGATGCCTTGACCTGATATTTTCTTATTCGTTTTTTAGGGATGGAGTTCCTGATATTCATGACAACTGTAGATTGGTCCCGAATCCGAATCAGTTGGATACAGATAGAGATGGCAAAGGCGATGCTTGTGATAACGATATTGATGATGATGGAGTTGAGAATAGACGCGACAATTGTGTATATGTTTATAATCCGGATCAATTGGACTCAAATGGTAAGATAAAGAGAATATCAAGTATTGATCAGTCCATTAATATCGAGATAGTCTGTGGAGAATCAGGAAAGTTTTAAGGGAGGCTGACCCCATTCGTAGAAATTCCAATACCTACCCTCAAAGATACCTTTATCAATATTCAGAATTTGTTCTCAGGTAACGGATACGGTGATAGATGCGACGACGACTACGACAAAGACGGCGTCAATAACACCATGGACGTCTGTCCTACGAACTCCCTGATATTCCAGACCGACTTCAGCAAGTACCAAACCGTGGTGCTGGACCCAGAAGGGGAGGCCCAAACCGACCCCAACTGGGAGATCTACAACAACGGCGCAGAGATCATGCAGACCATGAACAGCGATCCAGGACTGGCGGTGGGACACGACAAGTTCAATGGCGTCGATTTCGAGGGCACTTTCTTCATCGATACCGATACCGACGATGATTATGTCGGATTCATATTCAGGTACAGCCAAAATTCGCGAGAATAACGAAGTGTGCGGTCCCTGATGATGGTATCGAACTTTAGAACCTTTCCGAAGGTGACCAACTGACCAATTTAACGTTGTCATAGGATTTCAGATCATTTTAAGCAGATTCCGATTTTTATCGATGTTTGTTTGACTCATTTTGATTCCATAACCTAGGCTTTTCCAAAACATCCAGCGCAAACGAACAAACCATTGAAGTATGGCTCAGCTATTCATTGCTCTCTCTAGTGTAGACATCACTTTATTACACAAATGTCCTTCTGTGAATTCAGAGCTGTGTGAAGAAATCCTTATGAGTTACTAAGAATTAAGGAAGAAAGTACCTAAATGCTTCACACCTCAGAATATTTGAATGTAGTAATGTTTGAATTCATAAATAAACCACAAATATCTGGAAAAGGCAGCAGTAGCCTCAGTGAAGATTCTGGAGGCATCAGACTCTATTCAGAGAGCCAACATGTTCATGATAAAACACATGCTCGATCTTGTTTTCTTTTTCGGAGGTGGTCGATATCCTTTATGACCACCACGAAGGTCCTTCATGGTGTTGTGAAAGTCTCTGTTGATACTCAGGCCTTTTGGCCCATTGTATCTCACCTCGAATATGCCGTTATTGATCATACCTAAGAACCATGACTCTCATATAAGGACTACTTCAAATACCATCACAGTAACTATAAGCGCTGCTGCTCACAGCAGCAGAGGTTTGTTTGGAAGATAATTTTCGTTCAGGCTCCTGAAGACTACTCTTCTGAGCCCTGAACTCGTCCATGAAGAATGCCAAACGTTCTCCTCTCCTAGGAGTAATAGTGGAAGAAGTTATTCCAGCCCTGTGGTGACCTCTTCTCAGGGCTAAGGCTGTTTATTCTGATATGTCATCCTGTTTCCCAGAGGTCCCTATATCGACACCACATAACCTCAGTGCCGTCCACCCCTCATCACGGGTTCCCACTACTTGGATTAGGTTGCCAGAGCCTCGTTCATCAGTGCGCGGCCATATAAGCAGATGTTTTCAAATTGCCCCTTCTATGTACAGAGATGTCCACAAAACTGTCCCATCTGAGTGATCAAAACACCATGGTGAGGTTGGGATTATGGGAAAGAGGAAAAATATAGAATTGGCCAAGAAAGGCTGATAGGAAAGATTGAGGACTGTAGAATGAAGAGGATATCATCCAAAACAAGTTGGAGATTGATGAGTAACCGGCTAGGGTACCTTATGTTCGCTATTCCTGTACTCACAAGTCAGGAGCCCCTATATAATCATATTTGAAAAGTATTCATTGTATTTAGAATTATCGATAATTGTTTCTTAACTTCACTTGAAGACACAGGGGAGTTTTGTCCAAAGAAACACTTTAGTTGGAGGTAGTTGAGGTCAGCAGATCAAAAGCAAGGAAGAATAATTGAGAAGGAAAGGTCAGTCTGTTCTGACTGCCCAACTGTTTTCAATTAACTTGCATTGAGTCGAGTGAATTGAATGAATTGGTCTTACAAAATCTTGCAGTACATACTCATGTGATTTGAACAAGATATTCGTATTCGATTTCCAGTTACCAGAGCAACAGGAAATTCTACACGGTCATGTGGAAGAAACACTCCCAACCATACTGGGAACATGAACCTTTCCGTGCCATCGCAGAACCAGGCATCCAGATCAAAGTGGTGGACTCGGAGACCGGCCCTGGAGAGCTGCTGAGGAACTCCTTGTGGCACACCGGCGACACTCCCAATCAAGTGAGGCTGCTGTGGAAGGATCCAAAGAACGAGGGATGGAAAGAGAAGACTTCCTACAGGTCAGTATTGCCTGTTATAAGAATGATACAAGTACCGAACTACAAAATATTTGATGACGAGATAATACGACGATTTCATGGCAGGTTGAAATAATATATTGAAACCATGAAGAAATATAATAACCAAAAATTGAAAATAAATGATTTCGATTGCATTCTTCTTGCTTCATCGTGTTTAGTCGATATTGACAGAACTTGGTATCCACAACTGTAATCTGAATTGAGAATTGTTCTTTCTTCACTTGGCTGCTCTTTCCTCTCACACCCATATTCTTTATTCTTGTTTCAGATGGTTCCTGATTCATAGGCCAGCCATTGGTCTGATCAGGTTGAAGATATTCAAGGGGGAGGAAATGGTATCAGATTCTGGGAATATTTTCGATACCACTCACAAGGGTGGTAAGCTTGGAGTTTTGTGTTTCTCGCAACAACAAATCATCTGGTCTGATCTGGCATACAGGTGTAATGGTAAGTGAACAATGTCACTAGGTATACAGGGTGATTCATTAAGAATGGGAAATCTCTGAACAACATCAGATAGTGAACACAAAGATAATGAGATTTAGCACAATATGCCTGATGAGAATGTTGCTGGTTTAGGATATACAGGGTGTTCTAGGGGAAGATTTCATTTCAAAATTTCACGATAACTTTGTTAGTTTTAACAACATGAACATGAAATCTTGTATTTCTAGGTTTTCTGACATGAGGAATATGAGTTTGCGACTTATTTTGTGATTGCTCATAGAGGGCACTAGTGGTACTCTGTTACTTATTCATTGATGATCAAATTAAGTGGAAAATCTTGGAGATCGTTCAATTTCACATGGAAAATGTACTTTTTATCAAACTGTCTAGCTTCAACGGTTTTGTGTAATTCGCTCTTGAAGAGATTCATTTTCCACTTATGACATTTCAATAATTTTATTTATTAAATTAAGAATTGGCTATCCCTGAACTACATATATAGTAAACACTCAAATATGAAGATTCAGCCCAACATGCCTCATGAAAATACTGCTGGTTCAAGAGATACAGGGTGGTTAAGGAGAAGATTTCATTTCAAAATATCTGTATAGTATTTCCAAAGCCTCGACCAAGAAATGTCCGCCATTTTGGAAATACTTTGCCTTCATGTCACGTTTACATATTTCATTTGTTTTTCAGATAATTTGAGAGAAGATGTTTGGAATGAACTACCTAGTAGGCTACAGAAGAAAGTAAGGATTGACAACATTGGTTCATATAATGTAGTACCTCCAGATGTTTGATAGTGCCATTTTCTGAAATTCTGTAGATGTAAAGTGTTTTCTAAGTGTGTAACAAAATTTTGTACTTAGTAGATATGATAGTTACTGTTGAAGTATTAACATATTGTTTATATGAATGGAATAGTTTATTTTAATCTATACTTATATCGAGAATGTATTAACGATAAGGATGAGTTGCATATTAATAAAAATACATGTTTTTCCATTAAGTATCTCATTCTCTATATGAAAGTATACAGGGTGTATCTAAATAATACCGAAACAATTCAAGAAGTGATTTCTTGTGATATTTTAGGAAATAAATTTCATATAAACATTGTCCTAACTTGCTTCGTTTTCGAAATACAGAGGGCATTAATATTTACAAGAAAAATCTTTTTTTATTCATTTTTCAATTGTCTTTTCATCAATTCCAATAAAACCTTGTGGTTTTGTTAATAGTAATATGGATAGCTTCTCCTAGTGCAATCAGATTCGGAATAATATTTCCAGTGGCGTCACAATGGGTAAATTTATCAATATTCACAATATTCTTATTAGATTGAAATATTGATGTAACAACTTTTTCATCCTCTGTGTGATTTTTGTATCTAGCTTAGCTTTTGAGGAAACAATAAAAATTCGATTTGACTGCAAATTTTAATATACGTGTTTTCAAGGCTCCCATTGAGATTACTCAAGAACCGTGATTAGAATCCTTTTGAAATTTTGGGACTTTGTCAGTCTCCATCCATACCAAATTTTGGCACCATGGAAGCTTATACAGGGGGGCTGTGAATAAAAACAATTAGTACTTCCAACTTCAACATCCTGTATATAGTGAAAACGGAGCAAGTTAGGACACATGTTTATATGAACTTCATTTGCTAGAATGTCACAAAAGGAAGCACCCTTTGAATTTTTTCGGTGTTATTTAGATACACCCTGTATAAAATGTCACTAGACCTGTAATTTTCATCAACCTGAGAGAAAAATTCGATCGATAATCAGTGACTCTTTGTTCGAAAAATTAGAAGAATTATTACTCTTATGTAACATTATTTTTATTTGTTTTCAAGTTATTCTGAAAATATGGAAAAAGAAGATACTGAAAGTGATTCTTAAAATGTTTTATTCACATATTCCAACACTTTTATATCTAGAAACATGAATAAGATGATTTACTAAAAAGCAGGTAGTTAACAAGAATTCTATATAGATAATGATATATAATATATCACGAAAAAACATAACAATAAATATGGCACTAAATGAATATGATGATTAAAATATCGGCAGTTATTTCATCAATAATATTTTTCATATATAATAATTATTTATACAAAATATTTCGAACAAAACAAATGGTGATGTATGTTTCTACTTATAAATAAGATTTGGTCCCTAATTCATACAAAACTCCATTAATACAATACTCACTTATTCATTTGGTGAATGTACATTTTGATCCATAGAACCCTAGAACTGAGGGTACGAAAAAACAAATGCATCAGTGCGAAAGTATCTCTCAAAAAGTAACTGGGTTTTTAAACTAATTGACAAATGGTTCATGTCAGATTTCGAATATTAATAGACATCAAAAATACCACTTTTACATCAATTGAATTTGTAGGTTTACTACCTATTTCTATTCCTAAGTAACCTCAAATGAAAGTCATATGATTCAGAGTATATGTACACTGAAGATGGATCCCAGAAAGAAACCTATATCGTCTCAATCATCCATTGATTGATTTTCCATTACTTATTCAAAAAACAACACACATCAGCTAATACTTGGTGAACTAAAAATTAAATGACTAGTTATATGAGCATGATACGAACATTTGATGGATACTGATTTGGAAACAGTGATGGTTCAATTCATCTAATCTTTCAATGGCTGTCAATTTTGGAAATTTCCACTAGCTCTTGGGGTTCCGCGTTCAGTTTATCTGTTTCCGTTAAGACGCCCAGCTCTCCAACACTCAATATATCTACTAGTCTAGCTCCCAAGCAGTCGCACATTACGTTAATCGTCGTCCTGAATCGATCACTGAAAACAAAAGAAAAGCTCATTCGTAAATATAGTAATATCACAAACGAGTGAGAATAAATTGAGAATATTTCGACAGATTTTCCAGAAATTCAGAGAACATCGTGAGAGCCAAGGGATTTAAGGTAGGAATTGGTGTTCTTCTTGAATTTGTTGGGGTTATATGCCTCGGGGAACACCTCCCTTGACAATGTGTTCCAGAGCTTCGCTTGTTCGTTGGATGAACGAGTCTTTGGGAAGAGATGTTCTGCAGGTCTCCAAAGTGACCACGAAGGGGTGCGAAGCCTCAACTCGAAGGGTTAATCTCGCGGGGACTGCCAAGGGAGGAACAATTGTTGATATTCCAGAAAAGCATCGTCCATGAAAGTATCTATAAAATAGAGCCAGATCGTCAACTGTTCTACGGTGTTCCAGAGAAGTGAGTGAGTTTGTGAGCGAGGCATCAACCACGAGACGAATTGTCCTTTTTTGGACAGAATCCAACAGTTTCAGGATATGTTTGGGTGCTGCACTCCAAATATGGGAACAGTAATATAAGGGTTATACATCGATAACTTGATGCATAATAACAAAGTGTCAGTTCGCGACACCGCGAAAAAAATAATCTCTATCTAATGCCATCCAGTGACTCTATAATTATTCCCACTATGATGAGGTCTTGATTGGCTAAATTCAATATGAATGACAGAAATCGAAAGTTCTCATTGATTTCCAGATATATCAGAAAATAATCAGGAAGATACTAATCGAATACCAGTCGAACTGGAAATAATATCCGTTCATAGATCACAGATTATGCTCGATTCGGGTACTTACAGAAGCCAATCAACGGCGATGATGTTGATGACTTCTTCTGATGGCAATCCCACAGTGTCTAATACCATCACCATGGTGACCAATCCTGCTTGTGGGATTCCTGCAGCTCCTATACTAGCAGCAGTCGCAGTAACACTGTAAAGAAATGAAAGATTTGTTCGTTTTCCAGATTGTTGAAACGGTCCATGCATGGAATGCGCAGAATCAGGTGCGCATCAAATTCAATCCGAAACTAATCTGGGATAGTTTTGAAACCAGAAAAACAACGAGAACATGTTTTCTCGTTGTCTCATCATCTTTCTAGAAAATAATATGCTGTGTTTGTGTCACGTGGATCGAGGGCATATTTTAAAGGTAGGGGTTATTTTGATATTTGCATGAATAACCTTTTCCACTAAAATATTCCTGCACTCATACCTACCTGAAATTATCCTTGAATTCTTAAACCGAGTACAGATTCGTTATTCAAAACCACCATTCTCCAGATTGGTCTTGAGGATTTCCAGCAGAAAAAACGTTCAAAAACGGAGGATGAAGGATAGAGCTCATGTGCCCATTTTTTATAATCTTGATTACCTACATTTTTCGATAATTTCAAGTTCAAAAGTGTATCCTCTTAACTAAGAGAGCTTAATGTTCAAAAATCTGTTGCATAAACGCATACGCATCGAAAATGATGCACGACAGACGACAGTCATGGACAGTTCTTGCCCAAAAGAGCAGTTGATCCATGCCAGAGGCTCGTACTGGTTCAGATCAATTCGAAACTATCCCAAACTAGTTCAAGTAAAACGATGACACAATTATCTGTGCAAGTCGAAACAGTCCTGTGAAAACGCAAAACGTAATTTTGTGAACGCGAACAAACCCAAAATCAGATAGGTGTATTAGGACAGACACACATAATTTTTTGAATCTCTTGTCTACTTGGAAATCAGGTACAAAATATTCTGTATGCGATTACTTGAATATATTCGAGTTACGGTGATAAGATGTTGTTGGATTATGTGAGTATACTCACCAAACAGCTATCGTTTTGCCAAAAGTGAGTGGAATGTTGTTGAGCTGAGCAATGAAAATAGCTGCAACGGCTTCGTACAAAGCTGTCCCGTCCATATTAATTGTGGCTCCTATCGGTATGACGAACCGTGTCACTCTTGGGTCCAAACCCATCCGATCCATCGTTTGAATGCTGATCGGCATTGTAGCTGAACTGAAAAAATAATTGGATTATAATAATATCTGTTATATATCGAAAGAGATATTGTGTGAGCAATGAGGCTGAAATTACCCCCTTAATGGATGAAACGCCTATAGGAGTGCCATATCCACGCCATATGACAATTAGCTGTCGATTCATCGGTATTTGTAATCAGAAGTTTGAAGCGGACTTAGTCATTAGCATCATAGTATCAGGAAGAGACAATCGTTCGTCGTATTTCATTAATGAACTTCTTTGTACAAGTTACCCTGACTGAATTAATGTGGCTAAATACGACTTCTCGATTACGAATCTAACAATCTGGAGGATATGCATGAAAAAAGAACATGCATTCCTACTGACAAGAGATTTCGACGATAGTGAAGATACACGAGAATCGTTATATTCTAACCGAACATTGAAACACAACCTCTCTTTATTATTTGTTTACAAAGGAATCAAAGGATTGACATAGTTTTTCACAATATTTTGGCTTACGAGTCGTGTTTTTTGCACTATTCATTAATTCAAGCATGCCTTCTCATTGTGCTGTTGTACAATACACAAAAAATGCAGCGAGAGACGAAGGAATATGATTTTTCAGGTAAATAGTAATCTCACATAGTTTTCATTATGAAATTTTGTCATTTCTTATTAAAATTCCTTCTGCCACTTCTGCAATAGAAGCTAATACTGCTAATAGAATGAAAATGTCTACAACACACACGATTGATTGCATGAATCCAATCTTCTTGCATATTCTTGCAGAAATTTCACGAGTATTTCTATTCGCTCCTTCTGCAGATCGAAGGAATTCCGATGAGAAATCAGAGAAATTACCAATTCCAGAATGGAAACTATATGTGTGTGACTATACTAGGTACTTACTTTTAAATCATAAAGTACCAAACGCGGATTCCTTCGACTCTCGCTGCATTTTTTGCACAATGTGATGGCATGCGCGAATTTATGAATAGGCGAATAGCATGAATCGTATACCAAAATAATGGTGGAAAACCTATAGCAATCATTCGTGAACAAATGAGAAAAGTGGGGTTGTGTTTCAATGTTTCACTTCCAGGGTCGGTCATCTGACAGTTCTTGGACGCTACCCTTATGAGTGTCTACAATAGGCATTGGTATGGTTCTATAGCGATAATCTTACCTTGAAGCTGTACCAAAAGCTGTTACCAGCACTTGACTGAGCTGAGCTATGACCTTGAAGGGTAGCCTTCTGACTGCTATGAAGTAGAGGATGGACAGAGTTCCGAAGCCGTGGAGGAAGAGACCCAGTAGCACGGTGGCGAAGTACAATCCCAGTCTTCCTACTAAGTCTGCGAAGCTCTCGATTTCTAAAACCTTAGCTGCTACAAGGAAGAAAACACCGATAGGGGAGATCCTGCAATTAGATGGAATTAAATTCAATGGCATAAATTCAATTATGTCAAAATATGTACCACCCTGTATCATTAACGACATGATATATGACATGGACTAATCCCCTTTCTATAGAGGGTGTTCCGAAATTACATAGAAATATTCCAACCACAGGTTGTAGATACAAAATTAGTGGAAAACTTCATGTAAACACTATTTTCATGACGCTACAGAATTTTTAAATCACACAGGAGTACCATTTTCAAGTGAGAACGTTGACATTTACATATTTCCTGGTCAAACTGCGAAAAATTACATAAACAAAAAAGTTGTGACAAAAGGTGACCCTGGCCTCACCTATTTCCGACGTTCCTGATCAAAATTTCGGAAATTTCCCAACATTCCCGAATTGGTCATAAAAAGTTGGGTACATGTGCAAAATTTGGATATTTCATCAAAGACGGTTTCGAAAAAATTCACATAAATCCATAATCTCAGACTCTCCTTCAAATGGCTACAACCCCCCAGGAAGCAATTTTTTGACTCATGTTTATATGAACTCTTTTCACTATTCCTATTCCTAGAATCTGAGGTTGAAATCTTTCTATGCAATTTCGGGACACCCTGTATACATTTTCGTCTAAAAAACTCAAACTGCAAACGCCCTGTATATATTTATAGCGAATCGTTTCAGAGCGAATATTATTGGCGTTCATAGAAAGAGATAATATAATTTCATTGGGCTCTCGAGCTTTAGCGATTCCTCAAATATTTTTGTTAGAGTCTAATAGATTGAGATAATATTATAATTTTGTAGATACCCTGAATTACCACCCTGTGTATTATAAATATAATCATATCACTCATTGTAAACTGCATGATTGTGAACTGGAGACCAATGGGCTGCACCGGATCTGTTACAATTCGCAAGGAGCCAATAGGTATCATGAGGTAAGCAGCCAAGACACGCAGACAGAAAGAAGAAGAAAAGAAGAAGAAGAAGAAGGAAGAAGATGAGTCGCTCCAGACTTGCGCTTTACTGCGAGTTCAAATCATGTTATGTTCAAATATTATGGAATACAAGAAACAAGAATCGGTATAATTTCAATATTTCCATTTGAAAGTAGTTAGAAGTCCTGTTTCAAGGCTTGATTTTTGAAAATGGATTTAGTGTTGTGCGTTCCTGAATTCCTGGAAGGTTTTGAACTTATTTTGGAAGTGTTTTATTAGCAGTTCATCACCCATCTCATGAGGTTAGAAACTCGATTGGAGAACACTTACTCGGTTCGAGAATGTGGTAAGTTTTATAACGAAATAGTTAATATTTTCGGGCGTTAAAATCTGAAGCGTTCGCATCTACGAGGGTAAGGGTGCGAGGGGTATAGTCATATAGTCTATCCAGTCATTTGCATATACGTATTAATAAACAATACGGATCATAACGGGTGCCAGGATGAAGCCAAAAATATGAAACAAATGAATATCCATAAGGATTTGGTGGCAGACATGCGTTTCGGTGAACAATGACGTTTACTAGCCTTTCAATCAAAGCAGTATGTGTCTGATCGTATCTCACTTTTCCTTATGGATAGTCATTTGTCCTCGCATTTGTCTTCAGAAATCGGCTTCATGTTTCGCCATCGTCCACCAATATTCTAATTATTGGTGGACGATGGTTTCGCTATGGAAACAGATAGGAGATTATCCGTGTTGATTATTAATACGTATATGGTCATTTGGAGCGTTTGTCATTTGTACAATGAATTGATGATTATCATACAGGGCGTGGAAAACATTTTGAATTGAGAAAACACAATCTGTGATTGTCTGCCACTATTGCACGCACTCCAAACGAACTTCAAAAGAAGCGAAATTGCTCTGCGTACCTATATGTTTTTTCTCCAGGTGCTCCAACTGACTTTGAATCGCCTATACCGTTCACCTGTACCTACCCTATGCATTGTATACGTATTTCTGAAGAATGATTTCCTGATGTCTTATAGTATATAAAACTCTTACCAAATCACCCAACTAGTAATGATCATCATTGCTTCGCTGAGAGCTTCAAAAAAGTCCAGGAGAATTTTGGCTCGTTCTCCTAGTTTGCCCAATGTGATTCCGAAAATGATGGCGAAGACTACCAATCCAAGGACATTCGTTGTAGATTCGTATTTTTCCTCGAATTTCCAGTATTCTTCTCCCATTTTCTTTACTTAAAATGTTGAAGTATATTACTTTTTTTAAGGAGCACTTCTGGAAAACTCACCTGTCTCGTTTGTCGGCTCTATCAGGAATGTTTGAGACTGAAAAAAGGAATCTTGTCATAGCAACTACCAAATCGATTTATATCTAGGTACCTACTCTCTGTTGATTATATTATACAGAGTGTTTCTAAAAAACCTAACCCCCTTGCTAGGGTAGGTAGAACACAAAATAAGTTGGGTTTACTCAGTAAAAAAATTCCGCAACGGCATCCGTTATCAAGATACAAGGTGTTGAAAAAATGATTTTTTTACACATTTTTCAAGATTATGTCGAAACTACTGGCAACATCGTGATGAAATTTTGTATGAATGTTTCTTGGAATCTGACACATCGCATGCATTTGTTTTTATATCTGACTCTCATAGAGGGCCCTAGTTACACGGTTCGTACCGAGTAGTTTTGAACATAACTTTTTTGAGGTTAGATTTTTCAGTCCGAATTTGATATGAATTTGAACATCATTCAATTTCACACCAAAATTGTACTTTTGGTAAAACTCGATACTGTGTTCCGTTTTCGGAATATTTCGATTCGAAAATGATGAATTGGTAACTGTTGCTGGTATAAAGCTATGTATTAGAGTGAGTATTATGAAAAATTATCACCTATTTATTGAAAACCGAAAACAACAATACATTACTGATGCAAAACTCATTGATTCAACAATGAATCACAAGAATAACATCGAAACAGATTTGACAAGAACATGGATTACACAGTTTTGTTGTATCTTGAGCAGAAAGTCTATGCTACATAGGTAAATTCACGTCAAGAGTTGTGAGACATAATTGAACCTAACAGCTGATCCTCAATTGTTCAAAAGAATAATACATTCTTATGAAAAGAATATAGAATCGTGTATTCCTCGAAACGTAGGACATTTTGAACACTTACTCTAACTAATTCAATATTTCATGTTTCTAGTCAAATATCTCTCAATTTTGTACTTATTATCGTTTGTTTCATCGATAACTTCAGCACAAGAATAATTTTATTGTTTTTGAATCTGAATAAATAGGTAATTGAACTCAATAAAATTCATTTTATACCAGCATCATTATACTACTCCATTATTCTCAAATCGAAATATTCCGAAAACGGAACATAGTATCGAGTTTCACCAAGAGTACTTTTTTGGTGTAAAATTGAATGATGTTCAAGATCATATCATATTTGAATTGGAAGATCTAACCTCAAAAAAGTTATGTTCAAAACTACTCGGTACGAACCGTGTAACTAGCGCCCTTCATGAGAGTCAGATATTAAAACAAATTCATGCGATGTGTCAGATTTCAAGAAACATCCATACAAAATGTCATTACAATGTTGCCAGTAGGTTCGGAATAATTGTGAAAAATGTGTAAAAAAATTATTTTTTCAACACCTTGTATCATGAAACGGATGCCGTTGCGACATTTTTTCACTGAGCACACCCAACTATTTCGATCTGAGTTGAAAATTAGATACTATTATTGATCAATGATCTATAATAATTCCATAAGAGAAAATACTTGACTGAAATAGTTTTTAACTATTACATCAAGCATCGAGCATCAAAAATAACTATATAAAACTCAAAATAATTCAATCAAAGTAGGTACCCATCATAGTATCAAAAGCTCCAATTGAAACTTAACTCACCTGAGATACACATGCTTGGACGATATTTGGAGGAAAGAGGTTTCTGAAAATAAGAAAAAAATGTTGGTCAAAATCGTAAAAATCTCCGGAGCCAGTTGGTGAGACTTTTTCAAATATTTTCAGAGTGTTGTTACTAGAAGATTATCCATTTTAAGTTTGACTATTCAAGCGCTAACCAAGAAAGTATATGAAATAAGTATTTCGAACTAAATATATTTGAACATCTAAGATTTGAACACAGGATGCCAGGATGGTATCTGAATTCTTAAAAATATACAGGGTGCTCCATTAGTTTCATTTACACTTCATCTTCTATTTCATTCGTTCAGTTTTCCATTATTACACTCTGAGGAAAATTGAGAAAAGCCCCACCAACTGACCCTTCAATCCTTCAAATATCCTCATAAACGAAGGAGTTGCATGTGGGAATTTATGGTGGATCACCCTTGAAATTGATATTTGTTTGTCAATAATAATGCTTCGAATTGGATTCAAATTGGATGGGTCACGATTTATCATTCAGGAAATGTCAACCAAATTCGCTCCAATTCTATTATCCTAATAAATAGCAACCTGCTGAATCAATCAGGCATTGAAATAGATTTCTGTGGTATTGCCCACGTGTCCATGAATGTGGTAGGTATATACAAACAACGAACTACAATGGCCACGATATACCGGGTGTCACAGGAGATATGTAACAGCCTGTAGTTTTTTTTTTATTTGAAGAGATACAAATTCTGAATTCACAAGGGTTATTTTATCGATGATGGCGCTTCTCTTGAACCCAATGACAATTTTCTCCATCCACCTGTATATTTCTGTAGCCTATCTTATTCGCCTTAAAATTCTCTATTCAACTATATATCACATCAACATCAACCTTTGCACCCAAAGGTGCCTGAGCAAAGGTCTGAGGGGTGCCAACGTATATCTGCTCAGACAGCCAAGCCGCACTAAAAGCCCTAAAATCATTCGTTTTCACATCAAAAATCCCATGGGACTGCTTTGAAACACTCTTGCAACTGGAAAAGGACAACAAAGTCACACTTATGTGGGTTCCAGAGCATGAAGGAATGAAAGAAAATGGGGCAGCTGATCGCCTTGCAAAAAAAAGGTGCAGCATCTGCACTTTTTGGTCCTGAGCCTTTTTGTGGGTTGAGCAAATGTCACCTGAAGGAAGAACTCAGGAAATGGGAAGAAATTGAAAAGTCCTCCTACTGGAGAGCAACTCCAGGTCAACGACAAGCGAAAAGGTTCATCAACCATTCGCAGAACCGAGCCAAAGAGCTACTCAGCCTCAGCAAACCAGAGCTAAAGCATATCACAGGCTTTCTCACAGGACACGGCCCTCTGAGGTACCACCTCAAAAAGATGGGCCTGGCGGAAACTGACACTTGCTGCTTTTGTAACAATGCAACCGAAACCGCGGAACACATACTTTGCTCATGTGAAGTATTAGTCCGCCAAAGGCTGAACCACCTAGAACAGGTCTATCCGAGGTCTATCTCTCCCCTGCTGAGGTGGAAAATTCAACCGTCAGGAAAATTGTAGGCTTCATCAGAAGTCTAGGGTTAGAGGACCAAAACTAGACAATAGATCTTCTAGGTCGCATGCAGTGATCGAGAGGTCTCCTAGCCTATACGACCCATCTACAATCTGCATCTACATGTATCACAATTTGATGAGCGAAATGATACTGAAAATACACTAATATAGACTTATTAGCAGATGTATTAGGACGATACATCAATTATTACAATTTCAGTTTCATATATCCGAATGGATGATCATATTATGGTTACATGGCAAAACTGAAAGACAAATAGTTTCTTCACAAGTATAGCCAAATGAAAAAAAACTGAGTTTCTATCTTAATTTTTTCAATATCGTCAGTTACTTTCGGATGATTCTTTTAAACTCAATGAAATCATTAGCAATCTTCTGGGACCGATAAGGGTATGGGAAATATTCTGATGATATCGTCTAAGTAATGATCTTTGGATTTCTGAGCCTAACAAGCATCGAAATGTCATTGTATTCGGGCCACAGCCAACTTCATGTATTTAGAATAAGATAGGCTACAAAAATATACAGGATGCCATATGAAGAAAAAAGTTGGGTATACTTCCAATCAAACAGGTTGTTGAAAAAAATTGTCATTGGATTAAAAAAAAAGGGCCTTCATCGATTATATAACCCTCGATATAACCCTTGTGAATTCCAAATTTTTATCTCTTCAAATAAAAACATTACAGGCTGTTACATGTTTCCTGTGTCACCCGGTATACGGATTCCATATTCGCATGGTTGAATATGTTTTGTTACTCTACAGGTTAGTCAAAGTCTCATTGCTATTCAAATTACGGAAACATTGAATCAACTGAATATTCAGTATTAGCTTATGCATCCAAAATAAAGCTTCTGCTTCAGTATATCATCTTATGGTCCAAAAATCGAAACAGCACAGATATCCAACAAAAGATGGGAGGTTTACTGATAATGATGGAGCAAAAACAACTAAAATTTTCGAAGTAAGCACAAAACGAGAAAATTCATCAGTGATCAAGAATTCTGCCAGGAGTTGCTCAGCACTATAACTTTTTGTAGTAGTAGTAGTTTTCACTGTGCCAACCTCGATACTATACGAGATATACAGATTCAGTCAAATGGGAGAAAAGTGAAGAACCAACAAAATGACTTCTAACTTTTCTGAACTGAATTTTTGAATTTTCATTTTGATTTGGCGAAAATAATGAAGTTATGACAAAACTGAAAGAAGATATCCATGACAACTTTTGATGTTTTTCAATTTGGCATCATCGATTTTCGAATCCAACGTTTCGTCTTTGAGTAATCATCATCAACTTCATTTTTTACAAATACGGCTCTGATATTTTATAGCCCTTTCATTCTGATTTCGACGATATGCTACACATTGTGGTTTTTTCTGCGTTTCGAGCTTATTTTGGCCATCATCAAGTGATTTTTGGGATGCGGACCTTAAAATATCGATATGTTATAATTACGTCAAAACAGTCATTTTAAATCTCATTCGATTTTTGAACCAGCTCTTCCTGAACGTCCTGTATTAGCGAGTACCTACTTGACTTCATCAGCACAACGCTATGGAATACTCTGCCGGATACAACTTGACATATCATTAGCATCTAAATATCAAAATTTCCTGCCGCAATCAGTTATGTCCTGCTATGTGCCTACATTTCGTTGAATTCTCCCAATCAAATTTTGCCAAAATATAGAACTTCGCTTTTTTGTGCAAATAATTTATACTCAATTTCTATTTATTTTCCCATCCTGACGTCGTTTTTCATCTCATTTTCCTTGAGAAGCTTTCAATTACGTATAGGTATACAGGTATTTAAAACTTTTGAGCTCTTTTAATGACTGCCTTGGAGGCATAACAACCCAATTAGGCTATTCATCTGAAAAGGGGATAATTTTCCGTGGAAAAGGCGATTACACTCGGTGGAAATTATACAGACGTTCTCACGACAATTATAAATTTTCCGCAAATTCGCGCCGAACACTTGAATAACAAAGTCGATATAATTAACCCACTTTAAACAGTAACCTCTCCTGAATTCCCATTATTCAATTGTGTTTACATTAAAATAAAATTGCTCAGCCAGATTTTCGACTTTCGAGTAGTCCAATTGTTGTAAAACCAACGCCCTCTACTATGCATTATCCGTTACCTCAACACTACCATCAGTCCATCACATTGCATATCATGATGATAATATGTTTTTTGGTGCCATAAAAACCATATACGTATTTATAAACAATACGGATCATAACGGGTGCCAGGATGAAGCCAAAAATATGAAACAAATGAATATCCATAAGGATTTGGTGGCATGATACGCATGCGCCATGCGCTATTATAGTAGTCATCAAAGACATGCGTTTCGGTGGACAATGACGTTTACTAGCCTTTCAATCAAAGCAGTATGTGTCTGATCATTTCAAAACTTTTCCTTATGGATAGTCATTTGTCTTCAAAAATCGGCTTCATGTTTCGCTATGGAAACAGATAGAGATTATCCGTATTGATTATCAATACGTATATGATAAAAACATAGATATTAGATCTATACCTACTTCGTTACGCCAAGAGCACTCTTGCCAAGTTGTTTCAAAAGACGTTCAGTTGTGACGAGATTCTATGAATGATGGTGGTTCCAAACGGTTTAAACCCCGTTTGTAAGACCTGTGAAATCTGCAGTAGTTTTTGGAAAGGGGAAAGAAAATTGAACAGTGATGACAAACTATGTATCGAGTGGTCACAAAAAAACCGGAAGTTTTTATTTTTCTCGTGGTTTCATCATTTCTCAACCGAATTCGAATTTCTTGGCGTCGTTTCATAGCTAAAGGGCTATAGTATACAGTGAAATATTTGAAACTTTCATGATGAACAAAAACAAAATGGCGGATTCTACCAAAGTATTGTCATTTACAAAAACCGCTGGAGAAAAATAAAATCAGATTTTTTTCAACCTGTACCGATGTCATCTTAGGCTATTCATTTCTAAAGAGAATGAGTACTCGAACATCAAAATCGAACAAATAGTCCAGTAGATACTCTCATTTCTTTGCAATTTGTTATGAGCTATTCAGCTTTGGAATGGCATTAAGAAATCCGAATTCGATTGAATTCTAAAGCCAGAAGCAAACTAAAAGTAATTCTCATCACGGGATTGGCACATTCACTCCACTTTGCCAAAAAAAACGTGTTTTTCCTGGACTAATTGTTCGATTCAGATGTTCGAGTGCTCATTCTTTTTAGGAATCAATGATCTAAAATTGCATCGGTCCTGATTGGAAGAATGAAAATTTTTTTATTCGCCAGAGATTTTTGAAAATCACAAAAATTCTGAATTCTCCACCATTTTGTTTCTTTCAATTATTGGATTTTCAAATGTTCCATTGTGTACTACAGTTCTTTATCTTTGAAATAACTCTAAGAAATCCAAATTCGATTTCGATGGATTTTCATAAAGCCTGAAGTAAAATAATAATAATCGTTTATATATACGAGATTAGCACATTCACTCCATAACAAATTGTAAAGAAATGATTGTATCCACTGGACTATTTATTCGATTTCGATGTTCGAGTACTCATTCTCTTCAGAAATGAATAGCCTAAGATGACATCGGTACAGGTTGAAAAAAATCTGATTTTATTTCTCTCCAGCGGTTTTTGTAAATGACACTACTTTGGTAGAATCCGCCATTTTGTTTTTGTTCATCATGAAATTTTCAAATATTTCACTGTATACTATTGCCCTTTAGCTATGAAACGACGTCAAGAAATTCGAATTCGGTTGAGAAATGATGGAATAACGAGGAAAATAAAAACTTTCGTTTTTTTGTGACCACCCGATAGAAGAAAATGTAGGTTCTGCGGCAAAGGGGATGGAAGACTATAAATGCTAGGAGCTCATAAAATAGGAGTACCTAGAAGAGAAAAAGAGTACTCAGTCGAAAGGAATAGTAGAGGAATTACTATTTTCAAGAAGCTGAACTCATTCATCTGACATAGCAAAAGGGAATGCGGCTATACGTACACTCTCTATGGTAATCAGATCAAAGATGGTTTAGAAATGCCGAGTAAAACTGAAGGTGCTAGCCAACAGAAAAACAGTCTCCTTCTATGGGTTCTGGGACAGAAGTAGATGGAAATGAAGAAGCGAGCAAACTCGCTAGGAAAAGAGCTCAAACACGTAGAGACAGAACCCTTTCGCGGGATCAGCAGTAGTACTGTATCAGAATAAATTAGAAATGGAGAAGCTGAACAGAAATGAACTGTGGAAATCCGCAAGGTCTCAGAGAGGCTAAGATACTACCATAGGACACTGAAATTATCCGTAAAACGGAAAATTATCAGGCAAACGGCAACACTGGACTCATACCTTCAACAAGGCCAAACGATTTCTGCTGTGATCAGAATCAAACGCAAGATAACTATATTGTTTCTCACTAACCTGATAAGATCTAGTAGAGTATCCTGAGTAAGCACGTGCCTAGAGACCTTCTCCGAAGCTTCCCCTGACCAAGGTGTTCCCCCCACACCCGGCCTAATGGTGATCACCAGCAGGATCCCCAAAATAACGGCGCAGATAGTGGTGGCTGAATAGTAAGCTATGGACCTGATGGCTATCTTCTTGGACAGGCTGAGGTCGAGCGAGCCTATCGCCTGGATGACGGAGCTCATCAGCAGTGGGATGATGAGACACTTCAGCATCCTTAAGAAAATTTCGCCGGGGAAGGCTAGGTACATGGTTTCTCTCTTGCTCCAATGGCCTCCGGTGACTTTCCTGATGATTATGCCGGTGAGGGTGCCTCCTACTACTCCTATGACCGTGAGGATGGTGAGGAGGTTGCGGCGGATGAAAGATTTTCCTTTCGCCATGTTGGATTGGTCGGTCTGCAATTGAAAGGTTCGAGTCAAGCCTGTGGAGCAGTGTTTTCCGATATGTTTTTACGAGTAGAATATATAAAACGTCTTCGACCACTTCAATGTAAACTACTCAACACTAATTTCGTCGCACACCAAAATGTCGCCCCTGTTATAATGTGAATAACTTTTTTCAGTTCACAACAATTTGAATTTAGTTCACACTATTCGATAGCCCAGTCCTTCAGCTATAATCTCGTACTTCATTGAGACATAAGGGTATTCACATAAAATCTCTACATGGTGTTTTCCGACACTGTGCAAAATTTCGGAATATTCAAAAGGCTCTCAAACGGTGAAAACATTTTTTTTTTCTCAACTTCGACAACTGAGGCATGAAGATGATCTCATTACCTCGAGATATTTCGCGAATTAACTTCCTATCTCTCTTATTTACAGAGTGATCTCAAAAAATCAACTTTTTTGTTTTGAAGCCATAACTTTTTTTCACTTCAACCGATTCTGGAAATCTTAGGCTCATTTTGAAGATAAAACTTCAGATGAAGAGATCTGAATATCATAATTGACTCAAGATGGCTATCAAAGATCTAGAGTTTTCTTGAAAGTGACCGAAATCTGGAACGCCCTCCGAATCTCGATTGGGAGGAGAATTGAATAAAAATCAACGTGTTCTCGAAAAAACAATTCATTCTGGATGCGTCCATATTTTCCTCGCTCTCAGTAGTCAAGAATGTGCGTGAGAAAACACAATTGAAACATGTTCTTGCAGAAAAATCAGACCATTTCCCCTCTGTAATGCATGGACCGTAACCAACGTTACAAGAATCACAGTAAGTGACTGACAAGTCAGGTTAGACGTCGTTTTCGAATCATAAACAGATTTCGATAGTTTCGATGCCGCATCTAACGCGAATGTGGGTGACAACTTTGTTCTCGTTGGTGACAATGCGACACCGCATAGGGTTGTTGGTACACCATTTATGATGAGCCTTAGCTGGTCGGGTTTGTCAGTTCATTGTGATTATTGTAACGTTGGTTACGGGCCATGCATTACAGAGGAGAAATGGTCTGATGTTTTTGCAAGAACATGTTTCAATTATGTTTTCTCACGCACAATTCTTGACTACTGAGAGCGAGGAAAATATGGACGCATCCAGAATGAATTGTTTTTCCGAGAACAAGTTGATTTTCATTCAATTCTCCTCCCAACCGAGATTCGGAGGGCGTTCCAGATTTGGGTCACTTTCAAGAAAACTCTAGATCTCTGATAACCATCTTGAGTCAATTATGATATTCAGATTACTTCATCTGAAGTTTTATCTTCAAAATGAGCCTAAGATTTCTAAAATCTCTTGACGTGGAAAAAAGTTATGGCTGCAAAACCAAAAAGTTGATTTTTTGAGATCACTCTGTAAATAAGAGAGATATGAAGTTGATTCGCGAAACATCTCGAGGTAATGAGATCATCTTCATGCCTCTGTTGTCGAAGTTTTTTTCACCATTTGAGAGCCTTTTGAATTTCCGAAATTTTGCACAGTGTCGGAAAACACCATGTAGAGATTTTATGTGAATACCCTTATGTTTCGATGAAGTACGAGATTATAGCTGAAGGACTGGGCTATCGAACAGTGTGAACCAAATTCAAATTGTTCTAAACTGAAAAAAGTTATTCACATTATAACAGGGGCGACATTTTGGTGTGCGACGAAATTAGTGTTGAGTAATTTATATAAGGGATAAAAGAAAATCATTCTAACCACTATGGATAACATTGTGAAAATTCATCTATAGTTAACTTCTCCTCAGCAACAATTGAAGTAGTTAATAACTCCTAATATTCCGTTATAAAATGCTCAATAAGTTGTTGAAACTTGGCGAGATACAATCTATAGATTCGAAATTCGCATAAGTGCATCTTGAATGCTTCTTGATTGAAATGAGTTCTATACAATTTAATTGAACTGATGTTAATTTCATGTAATATTTTGTTTCCAATAGCCAATGAAAATTATTTCGCAACTCCCCTGATTGGTGGAAAATGTTCGCTATAAATAATGCGCCATGTTTCCTTGAATCAGTATGAGAGATATTTTCTAGCAAAATTGTCATTATGTTTAGGATGATCTGAAAATTAGAAGTACATTTTATAATTTCTCAGGTCTTGCACAAACAATGTATCATGACTAAGGACTGTCCTGAAACATTCACAAACTTCGATAACAATTGTAGGTTACTTTCCTCGTAAATTGTCTTGGCATCTGATTAATTATTAGTTGTCTCTGAAAGCTGTAAACAACCTCAACACATATTCTGGTAGTGATTTAATTATCAGAGAGCCACTCATCATATTGGCAGACTGCCCATCTGTTATGTTATAATGTATAATGTAGGTATGTATTTTGAAAATAAAGAAATATCAGCTGCTAACTCTGACTCTGATGAAGAGTTGAACGGTTTATCAAAATGATTATCTCTCATTGTGAAGTGGAATTATGGTTCTCTTCGAATAATGATACAAAATGAATAATGGATCGATGTTTGTGAAGTGCTTGCCAAAAATTACATATAGGGGTTAATATATTCGAACAAATAGAAATATCATTTCCTAGATTTAGATTGTCATACGATACGTGTTCATATTCATTTCAAATGGATGTGATCGAGACTCATAAAACTAGGTTATTTCAAAAATACGAAGAGATAAAAAAATATAGAAGAATGTTTAGGCAAAACTGGTTCGTTACTGTTGAAAGATAATATATTTAAATATAGCAAAAAAAACGATGTAATCATCAGAATGAGTAAGCCAGTTGCCAGGTTTTATTTTTGAGTTTGTATATATCACATTGATCACTTTGTTGTAACTACCTGCCTTAGCATTCTCAGTTCCATTTCGAAAATAAATATACCTATACCTTCCTAGGATATAATTTAAGTTCGTTCTAGATACGTAGAGTTTCGTTAGTCATTCTTGATAAACACACACAGTTTTACCACTAATCAAACCGATTCTTTGAACGCCTGGACACTTCTCTCTCTAGCTATGTTAGCCATCTTGAGAAGAAGAATGAAACATCACTGGTGCGGTAGAGTACGAAACTCCTATAAGTGTTCAATGTTTCATATTATGTATTGGTAGTAGGTAATAGCTATTCCGAGGCTTCAGCAGTATTAGGTTCCATGATGATGATATTGTTTACTATCATGGTGTATATCCCATTTTTTCACCCCCAATATATTTCAATCACTATAGTTGTTGGAAACTGAAATGTAGACCTATATGTCACTATGGACCCAGCGAGCACAAACATCCCTGGGATGTTTTGGAATGTTTTGAAAATGTTGGCATGAAGATGTTATTTTGAGACGTAATATGCACTGACCAAAGAGGTCTTTGAAGGATATTGAAGTATTGTTTTTGTTCTTCTGTGGCATTTCTTTGTTTGCCTACTGAGAGGTATTCCTGGGATGTTTTAGAAATGTAGGCATGAGGATGTTTTTTTGAGGCGTAATATGCACTTCCCAAAGAGGTCTCAGAAGGATATTGAAAGTATTGTTTTTGTTCTTTTGTGCCCTTTCTTTGTTTGCCCCACCACAACGTCTCATGCTTACGTCACAATATGATGAATTCTGATTTGTTTTCGATTTTGTTCTTCTTGTTCGCAATTGGCATTCGCGTTTGCAGCGTGTCACGCTTACATCACGCTGCTAACGAACAGAAAGGAATTTGGTGAAGTTTATTGTGTTAGAAGACTTATTTAGTTTGTAATAATGACCATCAGATGCAAGATGTGTTGTTCGGTGCCTTAGTGTAATCAATATATAAAAGTACGAATTTATCAATACACAGCTTCTCCGCAGTTGCAAAATGGAGAACATTTCAAAAATTGGGGAACCTATTTCCAATTATATGTCTGAGTGTAGTAAGCACTACTCAGAAACCGATTAAGAAGGTATTTTCATATCATGAAAATATTTTTATGTTCAATCTATTTTTAATGCATTTTTTCATTCAAGGGAAATGGAATCCTAATGCAAAAGTTCATTTTGACAAAAGGCTTCAGAAAAATACCTCGAAAATGGTTTTTTTACAGCGATTTAATGTGCGCAAGACGCGTTGAAAATGTTTTGTTGTGTCCATGAAAAGGCTTTAAAAAGAACTAGGGAGAAGGTAGTTTTGTGACATATCAAGGACATCTCGATAATTGCCGCCTGCGGCGGACATTGGCTGTTCTATAATAGTTCTATTCATGTGTGAACAGAACATCGCAGTGGAGGTTCAATGTCTCGAAATCTCGTACTCTTAACATCTCTGAGATGTTTTTGTGCTCGCTGGGGAAGCACTTTTTTCTCAATCCTGATTGAAATCTAGTCACCATGACAGCATATGACAAATCGTTATTGATAAATACCTACTAGATTCGAGTGCCATTCCTTGGAATATCGCATCAGAACAGTGAATTCGGGTTGATTATAAGAGAGGCAGCTCTATGTCCTTATTCATAAAATGACGAACGCCTTAAGAAGGAGTAAATTATGGTAGGTTCTATAGCTTATGGTGGAAAAAAGGTTTATTTTGTACCTTGTTTACAAACCTTGAAATTCAGATTTTGTCCAAACCCACGTGCTTCAAAGTAATTATCGAAGCAAATCATCACGATATTCATATTTGTTTTCGTTTGAAGGATAGAGCTATTACATCGAAAAATTTTGCGTTATGTAATGTTGTCAGGTATTTGTTTGAACAATCAGTAGGTACTTAAATATCAGTTTAAAAGTTTGTGGTCGGATATAATTACACAACAGTGTAAATACAAGTGACAGTAAACATTTGTATACCTATTTATTAAAATTAATCGATGGAATTCCACTGTAGGTATTTTATCAACATATCAACTCATATTATACCTACCTCATAACAATAATATGCTCCCCATAGTTTCTATGGGGAATGATAAACATATTCTTGGACAGCAACAACCAACCAAACGAAA